GGCGAGCGCGGGGCTAGCCCTCGGGCCGCCCCCGTCGTGCCCGCACCTGCGGATCGCGGTCGAGATGGAGCACATGGGCTTTGGCTACTGCCAGTAGCGGGAGGTAAAGGGGCAGCCAGGGGAATGGATCGCATCGGATCGATTCGGTTGCATCGTAGGAATTTCGTACGTTGCCAATGAAATTCGGGATTGTTTCGATGGTGCAATAGGATCCAACTCTGAAACAATAAGAGATGCTTTCGAGGAGAACTAGGGATCGTTACTCTCGTGGACGACTATCGTGTCGAAAAAAAGTAGGTGGTTGGTTCCACATGTACATTGGACTGGTATTTATGAATCTATACAGTATTGGCTACTTGTACATTGGCAAAAACCACTCTGCTGATAGTCTTGCGGTACCATTTCTTGGACAATGGTTGTCGGCGACGTGAAAACGAAGGCAAGGGGGAAAGAAGGAAGGCCCCATCTCGTTGCTTTTTCAACAAAAGGGATCATATTTAGAACAGAAAGAATACAGTACTTGAAAAGCATCCAATCCAGCATCGACGCTTTCCTTCTATTGATTGCATGGTCTTTGAATTGATCTCGGGAATGATGCATCCAGATACTATCGAATTCCTATTTGAATTGCGATTACTGTATTTATTCTGCTGTACACTAGCTGCTGTTGCCTTGTTGCCTTGTTGCCTCAGAGATCCGCCTTGGCATCGTCTCCCTCGTCGCCAAACAAGGCCCGATCGAGAAAATCCGCAAGGTCCCTGGTTTCTTGCTCACAGCTCTGGTGCCCCATGGGGTACTGGGTGGAGGTAATCTTGCTCCAATCGAGACCGAAATCGTTCGATAGTTTCTCGATGCCGAATTGCTGCTGCTCGAAGAGCACCTTGTCGTCGTAGGTGCCGTGCCCCCAGAACAGCGGAATTTCCTTTCGGGCGTCCTTCTTGCCGTCCTCCGTGAGTTCCGCAACCTCTTTCGGAAGGGTCAGCCACGCGGACAATCCGACACACCCGGCGAATGSCTTGGGGGCGTCTCCACCCAGGTTCTGGTGATAGCAGGACAGGAGCGCTACAGCGCCACCCTGGGAAAATCCTCCCACCACGATCTTGCTGGGTGGGATCCCGTCCTCGGTCTGGAGCCGATCCACCTCCGCTTTGATCTGCTCGACGCCCTTCATCAATCCAGCGGGATCGTCCTTGCTGCCGACACCGATCGGCCAGTCGAACAGATCGAACCACCCGGGCATTTTCATCCCGCCGTTGATCGTGAGCGGGATGGTTGGTGCCGCCGGAAACACGTACTTGACGTCCCCGGCGTTCAGGCGGGGCTTCAGTCGCGGGAGTTGGTGCTCGAGGCTCGACCATCCCGCGGGGGAATCACCGAGCCCGTGCATGAAAATCAGGGCGCCGCGGTAGGTAGAGGAAGCGGCATTTGCAGCGGCTGCCGATGTGCCCTTGGAAACAGGTGACATGGCCGAAACGAAGGAAAGCTTGCTAGTGGTGTTGAAAGTTATGAGAATGCTGCAGAGTATTGCCAAAGCGAAAAATGGGAACGGCGCAGATCTTTGGCCCATTGGATGGATTCGTTGGAGGGATCTGTTGAATCGACTTGGAATTGCGCAGTCTACAAGCCAGAAACCAAGAGCACGTCGGGCCTGGATTGTTGTATAGCAAGCTTTAGTTAACAACAATGAACCTTTCGAAACTTTAGTTCGAACGACAGTCGTACCAGGTCGTAACCAATCGATGTGTTTTCAAGTCACCAAACCAGCTCTCAATTCTCATATCGCACAAACAACAAAGATTGAACACAAAGCAAGGCACGTGAGGATAAATTTACAAGCAGAGCTTGATTGTTCTGCTTTGGTGGCAGTGGAAGTCGAAGGTATCAGGCAGGTATCTAACAAAATATCAACTAAAAATACAACCGTGTAGGACACAGTACATACGACTCGTAGGTCTTATAGACACTTATAGACAGTGCGCAGCAAGACTGGAGTGCTGGAGTATCAGCGTCTTTGATGAGACGTACTCACACGATCACGCACAAGGCAAATTCTATAGAAAAAAACCAAGTTGGGAGAGTAAATCTCGACAATCACGTCGATAACGACAACACCGATACCAACACTCCTGTCAGCTAACAAGATGGTCCTCTTAGTGAGGATAGCAAAATACAGTACTACAGTTCACATATACACAGTACACTATATTTTTATGCTTTTTTTCGATATAAGGGGGGGACAAGTAGTAAGGAAAGAAGACACACAACAAAGAACAAAGAAGCATCGACGAATCGATTAAGAAGCAGCAACAGCCGGTCCTCTAAGCAAGTGGTGACCCCCATTGGCTTCATGGGGACCCATAGCCTTAAGGATGTAAGAGATGCGCTTGGAAGGGCCTCCATACACTGCATAGATCCTTCTAACAGCAACTTCAGAAGAACAACCAGCTCTGATGAGTCTTTCCATACACCTCCAGAACTTCAGCCTCCTACAGTACTTGCTCTTCACCCTACCGCGCTCAGCCGCTGTAAACTCCTTTGCAGGCTTGTTCAGACCAACACCCACTTCCCATTCATTCCAGAGGACATAAAGATCATGAGGACACTCAGTCAGCTGAGCGTTGCTAGTCTCGGATGCGCCACTGTTCAACGCACGAGGGGCGGGCCTCCTTCTTACGACTGGTGCCATTGCAGCTCGTTGGGACAACTCAATGGCTTTATTGAGCTTCTGGTTGAACTTGACTTCAGCTGCAATCTGCCTATTTTTAATATCATTCACTTGATTAGCTGTGGCAAACAGCTTTGAGAACATTGCATGATTCCACTGCAATTGAGTACGTCGAATCCCAAGAGCAGTCCCTCCACCAGCAGCTCCGCTGGCGCCTCCACCACCGGGACCACGATCAAGTAGATCATCTGGATCAGCAAGCTCATCGAAGTGAACTTGCCCACTGATCTCATTAGCAATCACCTCGACTTTCTTGATAGGATTCACATCAGCATCCAATCTGTTAGGCAGACTGTAATTGAGTTGAACCCAAGAAGCGACAACATTGTTCTTCACGTCCTCAGGAATCAAGCCAGACGCTTGCATCGCTGGATCACAGCAAGCCCAAAGCAGTGCCTTTCCTAGAATTGCAGCGACTTGGTTACCAAATACATTAGCAATTGCTGGTGCAACAGAAGAAGCAAGCCACTCATCCGTGATTCCGGTGCTTTCATTCATTGGCTTGTAAAGACAGACTCCTCCAAAGCAAAGCTTGCTTGCAATGTCGATATCAGGCCAGGCAAGCTGAGTGTCAGTGTACCTATCTTGCTGGCGTTTAGACTTCCATTGAGCTCTATAATCAACATTGTCCTTGCTTCCCCCACACTGTCTTGCGTAGGTGGCGGAAAACTTCCTAAAGGAATGAGTTCCCAGCTTCCTGTCTGCATCTGGTCTTTGAGGAACAAAGGCTTCATTATCAAACACATAGCGCTTAATAAATCTAGAGTAAGCAGCCTTTCCTTTGCTAATCTCTTTCTCAATATCGCTTGCTTGAGATCTCCTATCTGTAATTCCTTCAGTGAAAAGCCATTGGCTTGCTGCTCCGTCGTCTTTGCACCACTTTTCAAGGAATAAAGCAAGTGCTAGCACAACACAAGTTCAATGATCCATGGAACCAAGCAAGATTTGCCTTGGGCAATCACGTTCTTCCCTTACATTCTTAGACCACTTCATCTTTGCTGTAAGGAAATGTGGGAATTCAATTGATCTCTCCAAGCTGTCTTTGCCAACATGAGCCATATCATCATTACGACCTATCATTTGGACCTGGAACTTAAGCATGGCAAGATATCTCAACCGATTCGTAATGGTCCCATGATTGGACATCAGTTCTAGTGTTTGCAGAAACTCATCCTTGGTAAGAGGCCTATTCATGCTGCTTGCCTGCCCTAGGCCTCTAGTTTCCTTCTTAATTACCGCTGCAATCAAATCGTTAACTTTCTGCAACTTGGTAGGATTCCCACTTCCAACACCACCAACAACAGTCCATTTGTGCATCTTGTTTGGCATGAAGTATGATATTGCCTTCTTGTAGTAGATTAAAGAAGTTGATCTACAATGAGTAGGATTATCATCCACGCCTGGATCCTCGCGACCAAAAGCTTTCTTTGCAAAGAACTTGTAAATATGATCCGGTGTTAGAATACTCAACTGCTCATCCGTGAATATAGTATCATTTGGAAATCGATTATCCCCATTGTCTCCTCCTTCGTCTACTCTTCCATGTACATGATCCATTAGCTCAAGCAGAATCTTGTGATATCTCCCCCATTGCCCTGGCTGGTTCACGTCTTGTGGAGGCGTTACAGTCCCCCCCCTTCTTTGCCAAGCCCGGAGACGCCGCCGATTCATCCCTCCTCTTGGTGTTCTTGCCATTACTACTGCTTCTTTGTTTCTGTTGCTTGGGGGGTTTTGCTCCTTGTAGTACTCGTATGATGCAAAGGAGCAGTGGCGTTTTGCTTGTACTCGTACGTACTATGCGTACTATGCAAGGAGGAGCAGGATTGGGGTTTTGCTTGAACCGGTACTCGTATGCAGCAAGGACTGGTGCTTGGTACTCGTAAGGACTGCAAGCAAAGAATGCACCTCTTGCGTCGTGCGTCGTGAGTCAACGCGTCTTGAGTCAACGCGTCGTGAGTCAACAATGCTGGGGACTAGTAAGAATGTGCAACGATATTTTGCAGCTGTTTTTCGATACTTCTTCTTACTAGTAGTATTCTTGCTGATACTGCTGTTTTTCGATAGTTAGTATTATTTGCTTGTCTTCTTGCTTGGGGTTTTGCTTGAACCGGTACTTGTATGCGATACTCGTAAGATGTGTTATTTTGTGAGCAAAAAATGCACCTCTCGTGAGTCACCCCCGGGGGGAGGGAGTTGCAAAATTGTTGCATACTCAGTGTAATTTGCTCTGTCTTAAGCAACCCAAAGAGGTACAGATGCGACCACAGCATAAAAGCTAATACGGTTGCTGTGTAGAATCCCTACCAGAATTCATGTAGGGGAAGTAAGTACGGTGGTAAATAGAGTGGGGCTAAGTGACGTGGTATAGCCTACGTAAAATCCTACGTATTTTAAGTACCGATAGACTCCTTCGACCGTTTTGAGAAATGGGTTGCAAAAATTTGGTACCAGCACTGTATTAGGAATCAGTATTCAGTAATAACCTTAACTCTAAGATATATATTTTGTACTTATGCGTAGATGTTACTGATTCTATTTTGATCTGATAGCATCATCATACTACCAGTATTTTCTGTAGATTCTTAAGTACCCCAGTTTGAAAATAATTTTGTTTGTACGAAGCATGATGCTCTAAGCACAAGTTTCCTTCCTCTTTGTTGCATATTCAGCATCGCAAAATCAGCACCTTCTTCGTCGCCACCACAAATCAGCATCTTGTTCTGCAACAATGCAACACTCCCCTCCCCTAGTACTACTATGAAGTAATACTAGAAGTGGCACCAGTACTTCATTAATAGTAAGGGGGGGTTATGAAAACATCATGCTTCTTGTATCATTGCACAACATTTGTATCAGTGCAGTGCAGCATGGTGTGTATCTGTACACCAGTGTGTG